ACTCTCTCTAACCCTGAACACGATTAAGCACGGATAGAAATTTAATGAATTAATGGGGTGCCAAGGCTCATTGATGGGAAAATGACTGGTTTCTTTATCAGCTTGTTCAATAGAAACATCAGAAAAAAAGAACAAAAATACTTCCATTGGCTTTATAATGTATACAATGAATGCTATTTTCTACCAGCTTGGCAGAATGTCAGACAACCTTGTTGTGACTGTCTGCATTTATTTCTGGTCATTTTATCTTGTGTGTTTCATCTGACATACAGGTTTCAGTGTTTGTGTATCCAGTGGTATGTATGTGCGGGTAGTGAAGTTGGACAGTTGCTGCACTTTAAATGTCTATTTTTGTTTGTCCTGTGGCAAGGACCTCCCACACTGATGCTTGCAGGAAAATATATATTCTTGTTATCAGATACGCACTTCATTTAAGTATGTGCATGTGACACGAGGAGGCAGATAGTTGTGAATGGATGACAAAGAGAATTTATCGGCTACGCTACATATACAAGCTACAATACAGCTTAGCAAATACAAATTTAGCACAAAAAGTATGTAAATGTTGTGTTTAGTAAATCATTTCTTTGTTGTAAAAATGCTTCTTAGCAATAAATCTTATACCACTGGAAAGCCTGTTAATTTGCCCTTTTAAATGTTGCSACATTTGTAAGGAACATGTATTTGTGCGATGAGCAGTTGAGCTGATTATGTAGGTTGTGCCACAAAAATTTGCGAAATCTTCTCTGTCGTTGCCAAACAGCTTGTTTTGCTGTTGCTTTTGACACTGGTTTTGAACTTCGGTCTCCAGGTGCTGCCTAAGACTTATTGTCAAGAAGCTTTGTTACAACAAAGAAATAATCTACCAAACACAAATGTTCTTATTTTTTGTGCTAAGAATATTTATTGTGAAAATTTTAAATGTTGCTATAGTTAGCTGGTGTGTGTTCTACTCTGTTTGCTGGGGTGGGCAGATATTTTTAGGGAAATGCTGTATTATTACCAAGTTACTG